CCTAATAAAAAAAAAGCGCGGGGGGGGGAAGATGGGGGGGGGGGACGCACGGACGTTGTGCATCTGTGTGTCTGTGCGACTCACACTTATTCACTTATTTAGATTATTCTTCTGAGATGAAAACATGTTAACTGATCAGCGTCTCAGTTGTTTACAATATCAAGTGTATCTGCTTCCCATAAAACAGCCAGTAAAATTTTTTTGGTTGGGGGAGGGGGAAGAGCTCAGTGACAGCGTTACGTTTTTGAGACGACGTTGTGCATCTGTGTGTCTGTGCGACTCACACTTATTCACTTATTTAGATTATTCTTCTGAGATGAAAACATGTTAACTGATCAGCGTCTCAGTTGTTTACAATATCAAGTGTATCTGCTTCCCATAAAACAGCCAGTAAAATTTTTTTGGTTGGGGGAGGGGGAAGAGCTCAGTGACAGCGTTACGTTTTTGAGACCACACAGGTATCTTTATGCGGCAATAAAAATGCAACGAAGGAAGGTCGTTAAACGGTGCAGTGACATTTGAACAGAGAAAATAGTACTTGTGATGAGCTAACACACATTGCTGTTGTCTTGGCTGCCGTGCAGCGTGAGCTTACGTAGGCAAGAGATCTACATCGGCATCTGTAAATGTGCTTGATGTGCAAACAGTCAGTTGAATAGATTTACTCTTCCCCTTTGCTGGCCTGTTCTAAAGCCTGCTGCAGTCTTTTCACAGAGTTCGGTAGGCTTAGGATTAAGCTCTGTTTGCAAAAAAGAGCTTATATAAAAATGAAACTATGGCTTCTAAAAGGCAAACCATCACCGCCGTGGTAAGCAAACCCATAAGATGTTTTCATCACAGTTGTTGGGTATTGAAGGTCAGGGGAGGCGAAGCTTCCTCTAACCCAGGCTCTGGCCCCACCCATGTTCTGCCAGGAGGCCCCGCCCTCCCTCTCTCTTGAAGTTGGTGGGGCTCAGCTCCCGTCAGGGGTCTGGAGAGTGGAATGGGGGTGGGGCCAGCTGGGGTACATGGGGCAACTCGGACCGGCAAGGGTGTTAGGCAGCTGAGGCCGCCTTGTGACTCCGGCCATAGGACAGAGGGGCTCGGAGCTCTGGTGGTCGGGGCCTCAGTCAAAGGGGCAGGGCCAAAGGGCTAGTCTCTCTCTGGTGCTTCGGTTAGTAACTGCTCCAACTACCCAGCCACATTATGCTTGTCCGTTGGGATGCTTGCTTAGGAAATGCTTGACTTCGTATGTACATGGGTGCAAATTTGGATTTACAGTTTCTTCAGGCGTGAACATCTCTCTGGAGGCTTTGAGGAACACGTAGGCTATTTAGGAGCCCAAGTTCCTTGGAGAGTCATTGGTATTTGTGCTCCTAAGCCCCTTAGACTCATTCAAAAACCTTCCTTCTGTTTTCCCCTGCGTGGCTCTAGGAATGTACACCTACTTCTACAGTGCTGCATACACGAAGGGGTAGTGATGAGGTTGTCAGAGTTTTAGAATACCCCCTATGTAACTTTCCAGGTGATGTACGGTTGAATAGTATCATTAGCAATGCTGCAGAGCGGGAAGAGTCAAGTTTGAAATAGGGAGGTAAAAGCCTGTTTAAAAGGTTAACCGGTTAACTGGGATCCTGTGGCGGGGGGCTGCTCCGGCCGGACTGGGCCCACCACACCGTGTTGTGGGTGGGGGCTGCTCTGGTTGGGAGGGTCTCTGTGTTGTGAGGAGGGGCTGCTTCACTTAGGCGGCTGATTAACCGGTTACCCAGGTAAGTGCGCTGGTAAGGCAGATGCTTACCGGCTAACCGCTTAGCCAGTTAACCCTTTACATCCCTAGCTTGAAACAATCTTTTATCTAGCACAAAGGATGCTAGAACAGCATTAAAGGGGGATGTTAATCCCCCTCCCCCATCACTCACCGCTGCTTCCCCTCCCAACCTGTGTAGAGCCCATGCTGGTGTGACAGCTGCTTCCTTGGCTCCCACTGGGAATTGGAGGAGGTGCCTCCATTGGGTTGGTTTTGCAGCCCCCCACGCTGGTGTCCAGGTAACGGCTGTACACGCACAGCACAGGAGTGTAGGTGCACAATTGGAGGCAGGCTGGAGTGGAGTAGAAAAGTTTGACTTTCCTGTTTAAAGCTCTTTATCCATTCTTCGTGCACGATACTGAGTGAATCCTGCCCCTCTCCCAGTCAATGAGAGTTTTGCCTCTTGACTTCATTTAGTGGGGCTGGCATTTCACCCTGGTGTCTAGATCTGATGCATGCCATGATGTAGAATGACCTGTTCTAATGACCTTGGGACAAGTTGTCACCCAGGTTAAGTATTATCAGTGGTTAAGTATTGTCTGTGGGCATAGTGCACAGAAAAACTGGCTTTCCTGAGTTTTATTTAAAGTTTCCGTTGCTTAAAAAACTGCTTAATAAAGAAAACATTTTGGAGGTCTCATTGGAAACCTTTATTTATTGCTTACTTAAAATAGGGGAAAAGACTCATGTTGTTAAGGAAACTGAAGGTTATCTTTCCAAGCTGGTAATAAAATTAGCATCTGGGGTCGCCCTTGACATTTCTTTGTCAGAGTAAATTTTTTTCTGGCCTGTTACAAACCTTTATAAATAGAGGTTATAATGCTGGTCCCTCGTTGTACGGTTGGAATGGTGCTTCTGCCTTGGGACAGGTGAAGTGTGATGTTTGAACTCAATTGATGGAAAGTTTAAATGGTTCCTTAAAACGTATATGGCGGAGGGGATTGCTACTTCACATCCATTTTACTTACTGCCCTATATTGGCATTTGCTCAAGGCTTAAATTAACTGGAGCATAGCTCTGGTAAATAGTTGCAAATCCACAAGGCTGACACCCCAGAATGGGGGGAGGGGAAGCGCTGGAAAATACTCTGAGAATTTAAGCCCTGAGTTTGCTCAGGGAGGTGTTTGTTGAAGAGTGAATGATCTTGGTGACTTTCCTGGCCCGTTTCTGATGCCCTCCTGCTCTCTCATGGGAACAGTTCCCGGGGAGGCTGTCGGCATGCCTACCCCCGTTGTGCGTCACGCAGAAGATGTCCGGACAAAGGACGGGGATTTCATACATTTCTATGGTGTTGCTGATTTTAGGGAGTTAAACCGGAATCGCATCCGCCTGATTGAAGGCCTGACGTTCCACGGACTGGACAGCTTAGACGTGCTGAAGCTGCAGCGCAACAACATAAGCAAACTGACTGACGGGGCCTTCTGGGGTCTGGCCAAGATGCAAGTCCTGTAAGTTAGAGGGAAAGATTTTTTTTTTTTCCGCTTCTTCTGTGCAGTCTGGATGTCTCCCATGATCTCCTCCTTTCCCCCACTTTGCCTCAAGCTCCCCCAGGGTCTGGGGAGTGCGGGTAGGAGTGCTCTTGACATATGACCTGCTGCCGGACAACAAAAGGTGGAGGATTTTTGTGCTTTGAGTTCCTCAGTTCTGCCTCTCACCCGCTAGATGCCCAGGCTCTGCTCTGCTTTGCCACCTCGCAACTGCTGTACAAGACGCAGTTGTAAAAGGAGGGGAAAGGTTTAATTCCGTGACTGCTGCCGCGTTCTGTGCCATGCCCAGGGCACAGCTGCAAAGAACCCTTTCCCGTCCTCAGCACACGGTTTCCCTCTGCCAGTGTGTGACGTTTGGTGGCCTGGGCTTGACTGGTGGTCCGGGCTGTATTACGCTAGTGCAACAGAGATCAGTTTCCAGGCACATTCCCATGGATCTCTCCTCTCGGATGCTGCCCTGACTTTAGTGTCCTGAGAACCCCGTCCTGCTACGTGGAGATAGGACACTGATCTCTTCCCCCCCGCTTGGAATGTGATCCCAGAGATCCAGGGCTTGTGAAAGCTACCCGCCAGCTGCGTGGTGCACGGCGTCCAGAAGGGATTAGTGTGTGTGTGTGTGTATGTGTGTGTGTGTGTGTGTGTGTGTGCGCGCACAGCCTGAAGGCCTGTGTGTGCATTCTGCCTCGGGGGGCCCGTGGACTTCAAAGGGGCCCTGCCTGGGGACGCAGCTGCACGCCTCGCATGGCAGGCTCTCCTTGCATTACCGCTGGGATTAGGGGACTGTCCTTGGAATGGGGGCTGGACAGATGGATTTAACAGCAGTCTCCCTCCCCTTTCACTGCGTGGCCAGCTCGAGTGCCTCTAGTAAGACTTCAGATCTGCCTTTTCTGGCTTACGTTCAAGGTAGACTCCTCTTGGAACGTAGACATGCGTATTCCTTAGGCCCTGCGCTGTTTCCTAAGATTTCTTTCTAACGTAATTCAAACGCCCTTTTCTTTCCAAAGCCCAATCAATTCCCTGACCTCTCTCCCCCCCAAAAACCCAAACAAATACCTAAACCTAGGGGTGGGCAAAAGGGCCTCCGCGGGCCAGATTCGGCCCACCAAGCGGGTTGATCTGGCCTACAGAGGCCCTGCTGCTCCCCCACCCCCACCCCAATTAGGGGGCAGGAGAAAGTGCACAAAGTTTCCTCCACCCTGCCAGGAGCACGCAGTGCTTAGAAGTGCCATGTGCTCCTGGCAGGGCAGGAGGAGACATCACGTGCTCCCTTGCCCCCAGGCCTTAATTGGCCTGGGGGCAGAAGGGGGAAACACGGCAGGGTGGGAGGAGACTTTGCCCGCTCCCCTGCCCCCAAGCCCTGATTGGCCTGGGGCAGAAGGCGGAGCATGTGAAGTCTCCTCCCACCACCAGGGGCATGGGCACCTAGGGAGAAGGGGTAGGCAAGGGAGGGAGAAGACTTCATGTGCTCCCCCACCCCCAGATCATTCAGGGTTTGTGGGTGGGGAAGCAGGGAAGTATCCTGTTCTTTCCCCTTCCGCTTGAAGTGCCCAGCCCAACCTAAACTCTAACCCAAGCATGGTGTTGATCCCAAAAAGGGAGAAGCGCCAGAGACCCCATGAGGGCTGATAGGAGCTTTGCTGTTGATTTGACACGGAAGGCACACAGATGCGGTGGTGAGGAGCATCAGTATAAAACCCGAAGCTAGATCAATAGTACACACTGTATTGTAGGCAAGGTTAAGTGCGTGTGCCGGTGTGTGCACACACTTCATCATCATCAACAACCATGGGCTCAATGCCCGTTGGTGTCCAGTGCCTCCCTCACTATTTCCTTCCTTCTTTCCCTGTCCAGTGCAGAGTGGCTTAGTTTCTGTAGACTAGCTCTGTACCAGTCTACCATATCATCTACCCATTCTCTTTGGGGCCTGCCTCTCCTCATCGGACCATCCATTATGCCGAATATCAGGGTCTTCACTTTTCGCTCTTCGTTCATTCTGCAGATATGCCCGAATAGCTGTAACTTCCGTTGTATAACCTTCTGCAGTAGGTTCTCTTTTGGTTGTATCTTTCTATTTAATTCCTCATTGGTGACCTTCTGCATCCGTCCTCTTCTCGGGATCTTTTCTATGACAACTTCCCTTGAATGCCAATATCCTTCTCTTCGAATCTTTTGTTATCACCTATGTCTCACTGTACAACATGCTGCTAAATACACACATTTTCAAGACTCAGCTTTGTTCCTAAGCTAATCGCTTTACTTTTCCAGATCTTATCTATTGCTTTTGCCATTCTAGTTGCTATTTCCTTCTTACAGTCTAGATAATGTCATGTTGCTCCCCAAATACGTGAACTTCTCTATGTTCTCTAGTTTGATCCCATGTACACTCATCTTCCTTCCTATTTCCTTCTCCCCAAATACCATTGTCTTCGGACTTGCATGCGTATATATAACAGATGTCAGGTAACAAAGTTGTTTTTTTTTTTTTTTTTTTATCTGTTGACTCAAGACACATTCCTCTTAAAGCGTTTCACTGTACGTAGGATTTAAAAGTACTGCAAAATCTAGATCGCTGTAGAAATAAAAGCTCTTCCTACAGATGACTGATAAGCAATTAAGTGGGATATTCTTGATTGGTGCTTTCTTCTTTATTAGAGTACACATTAAAACACACAGCCAGAGGCTCCTTGAAGTTTGCTGGTATGCAGTAATTAGTGCTGTCCTGTTCTATAGGGGCTATGAAAGAATTTGGGCAGTACCATTTGCAGCCGAGCTCTGGGATGTAACTCCTGGTTTGACATTGGGAGAAGGCGTGAAGTGTGTTGGGGAAGCAGTTTTCACATCTGAGCACAGGACGATTGAATAGCTCCCACCTCCCCCCCCGGCAAGTCCTTTGTTTGTGTGCATAGAGGCACGTATGCTTGGCTGTGTGTTGAGATGCACAGAAAGGGTGGAGTGTGATGGTGGTGTGTTTTTTTTTTTTTTTAGTAAACATTTTATAGAAAGCTTCCCAGTTCTTTCTGGCAGTCCTAAATTTCATCCAAATGTGCCTGCCCATACGGATAGTCTGTCATTTATCCTGCTTGTCTTCCTAGACACCTGGAGCAGAACAGCCTGACCCAGGTGAACAGCGGCTCTCTCTACGGCCTCTCATCTCTCCACCAACTTCACCTCAGTAACAACTTGATAGCCCACATCAACCCTGAGAGCTGGAAGTTCTGTCAGAAGCTGCATGAGCTGTAAGTTGATTAAGGTGATTCCTCATAGTCCTACCGAGCCTGTTCCTGATGGTGCTGTGGCATTTATTGTACCTAATGTGCTGAGCATAACGAGCTGCTTAAAAAAAATCTGTTTGTTTACAGGGGTTAAAAAGCCGATTGAGGCTCTGTTTGCAGTACCTTAGCTGGAAGACTTGTGTTCTCTTGCACTGACTTGACTATACAGCTTGGAGGAAACTTTTGCTTTATTAGTCTATTTATTATGTAAGCTGTAAAACATAATCACGTTTAAACCACCTAAGGTCAGGCTAACTCAAAAGCAATGAATGAAGTATGTTACTCCCGCCTCTTCTGCTTGCATATTACTTTTACCGTCAGGTTCATCTGCTGGAGGGCAAGCAGGTTGGCCTCGTTCTCCTGAGATTCCCAGATGTGAACATTTCACTTGCGATCTTTTTGATAAATAAAAATGTCGGCGGCTGCTGACAGCCTCGGGGGAGAGATGTCGGCGTCTCCATCGTTGCTAATGCTTTGATGAGGGAGAGACGTTTGGGATGCTTGCTAGATTGACAGGAATAGCAATCGCTCCTTAAAACACGTCCAGCTGTCTGGTTTAAAAAACAAATCTCTCTCATCTTTTCTAAGAACGGGTGACGTTGAGTTTTATTATGGGACTGTATCTCCTGCTTTAGTGCCTCATTCTGCCAGATGCGGGGAGATCATAAGAGTCCCAGGTCAGTAGAGATCATCGTAATGGTCTAGTCTGACCTCCTGTGGATCACTGTGCAAAGAACTGACCCAAATAATCCCTAAAGCAGATCTTTTCCAGCTAAACGTTTTCAGAGTTTCCCCCTTTTGTTAAGATACCAGATTTCAAATTCAGACATTTTTGGAAGACGAGAAAGGAAATATCGTTTGGAGAACGTGATTATGAGCAAATCACCTTGTTTTTCAGACAGGCCTGAGACTGGCTGCCCTGAAAGGTACTTCCTTTTGCAGTGTACGCTCGGCATGTGGCCCTGGCTACTTTCCAGAAAGAGCCGTGTTTGATATTTCACTAGCTCGGGATGGTGCTAAGAACTTTCCCAGACTTCAGAGCTGAGTCCTAATTTCCTTCTCTGTGAGTCAGCAGTTTGCCTCACCCAGGTCTTGCTCAAACCCAAAGCATCAGAAGGAAAGACTTCTTCGTTCACTGGACGTTTCTAGGGAAGGCTAGTGCCAGCTGGGCAGAATGGCCAAATTTAGCGACACAGAGGGATTGACTGTGGAGAACACTGGGGACTATGGAGAACACCAGCCATCAGCCAAGTCATGGATCTGGAAGGAGATGAAGGAAATGATCACAGATCTACCTTGCCTCTGAGAAAGAGGTGCCAATGCCTTGGGACATGCCCAGTGTGAATGGGGTTGGTTCTAATGTAGGGGGGACTGGATTTGGTTTAGATTTGGAAGGTGGCTATCTGGACATTAGCACACACCTTTGCAAAATATTATAGGGCTGAGCAGACCTTGCTTCAGGCCTTATTGGAAAATTCTCCTTCAGATTACATCTGTGATGATTAAAGCTGTGGATTTTCAGTTCCTGATGGCTTTCTATCTACATTTTTATGGGGAACTGTTTTCAAAAGACTCACTCAAAGCCCATGAAATGGGTGGGCACTTTCACGGGAGGGAAGGGGAGTATGAGGCCATTAAAAGGTTTCCTGTGTCTGTCTCTATCTTCTGGTTGGGAGGAAATACAGAAAATGAAGCCCAGGCGTTCGGACTGGAATAGATGATATCAAAGCAAGGAAAGGTTATGCCACCATGAAGGTGTCTTAAATGCTTGGTTGTGCATGCAAATCAGGTGCTTGGACATCTACAGAGAGGAATAAACCCCCAATTACAGGTTGATATAAATGGAAAAAGGGGAGCTGGACTGGGACCTTAAAAAAAAAATGAAGTCCATTATGTAGCAGTTTGATTTAATGGGAATGAAACTTCTTGAAAAATGTGACGCACCCGAAGATTGGATATCAAACTGGCTGTCTTGCAGGGTACCAGTCATGGGCGGCAGGTAATGTAGGCAAGGGAAGGCATTTCCTTCCCAAAATTGTCTATGTGCCCTGGGAAGGCAGGGGCCATGGCGTGGCAGCCCACCCTCCAGGTGGCCAGGAATTATTGGGCTGTGGATAGGCAGGGCTTGGCTCTTGGGGGCGGGTTGCTGAAGGGGCGGGGCCTCAAGTGGAAGGGGCGGGGATGGGGTTTGCCTTCCTCAGGTTGCCCATGGTTAATCCTTTTTGTGTCACGATTATCATCATTCACTCTGCTTTCTACTCCACACCTCCTCCTTGGCACCGGGAACTGGGTTTTTCCCCTAGCCAGGTTTAGCTCCTTCCCTTCCCTTCCCTTCCTCCCTAGAGGCATGTAGATTAGGCTACCAGACATAGTAAAATGAAGTGGCGATTTAAATAATCGCCGCTTCATTTAAATTTACATGGCTGCCGCGCTGAGCCGACAAACAGCTGATCAGCTGTTTGTCGGCTCAGCGCGGCAGCCATGTAAGTCGACGTCAAAGGTATTTGTCGGCTCAGCGCGGCGGCAGCCATGTAAATTTAAATGAAGCAGCGATTATTTAAATCACCGCTTCATTTTACTATGTCTGGTAGCCTAATCTACATGCCTCTGGCGACAGAGGCATGTAGTCTAGACGTACCCTTTCTGTCTGTGTGTCTGTCTGTCTCTCTGTGTGTGCGTGCGTGCGCAAGACAAAGCCAAATTCCTTAATTGCAGGTGAGGACATAATTTTGATCCGTTGCCAGTCCTTCATAACTAACACTACAGTTTCTTTAAGAACGAAAGTATGTTGTCCTATGCCTCCTTGAAACTCATTAATCCCGGCTGAATTTCTTCCAACGCCTTCCTGCTCACACATTGAAAAGACAGATGGCTCATTTGCCAAGCCAATGACGCTTGCAGTGCTTAAGAATATATATCTGTTTTGACTTAGGTTTTTTGGCTAGCACAGTAACTTTCATGTGTGCCCTAGACACATTAAGTGGGCTGGTTATGGGGCAGGGCTATATGAGGAATCTGGAGGTTTGGAAAGAGTTGGGAGATTGTTTTCATTGCCCATAATACAAAGGGTTTCAATATTTGGCCAGGGCAAAATGTGTGAAATTTTCAAAGTGACTTAGGAGCACAAATTCTAGTGACTTCCACCTAGTCTTGAAGTTCTAAGTCACCCACCCCGAGGGCCAACTTTCTGGTCCTTCTTAGCTTGGGTTGATGCCAAACCTTTGGGGGGGAGGAAATTTACATCACTAGTATTGGGCTTATTTGGTCACCAGTGAAACTTAGGGCAGCCCAGATTGGTATCCAACAGCCCTGAAGACCTGCTCCAGAAACTGGGAGTAGCCCCAACCCAGGGGAAATCTGACTACAACCAGCCAGGCATTCTGCCCCCTGGGACTAGTGAGTGATGACTTTGCCTATACTACAGCACTAGCGACTTCCCCACATCGAACCTTCCCAGTAGCCATGCTGCAGCGCTTGGGGCAGTGTGTGGCATTTTCCTATAAGAGCAGGACTATGGATTGCCTGAGAGCTGCTAGCCATCACCAGCTCTTCCCCGCTTTTCCTCCTGTTGGCTGCTCCAGGGAGCCTTCTCGCCTCCCTTGCAGTGCCTGCCTGAGCACTTTTCTCTCCCAGCTATAAAATTGCAAGGAAGCCATATTCAGGCCAGACAGAGCAGGTGCAGGGGATTGCGTGGGGGGCTCAGAGGATGGATGGAAAACTCTCCCGTGTTAGTCACTGCTGTACGTCTAGGGGCTCTCCAGCATGCTTTGCACTCGGAGACAAAGGGCAGAGGGACAGGAGGAGGGCTGTGATGGGGGACCTTTGCTCTGCCCACAGCGGGGGGATTATAATGTGCATTGCTACACATTCGGTGGCTACACGGTGCAATTGCTTTGGCCTGCGCTCTCGACGGGCATTGGGTGAGTGGTGGAGACGCCCGCATCTAGCGTGCTCCCCTGTGAAGATGTCACGGCCAGGCCCATGCAAAGCGTCTGCATCGATTTCAGAGGTGCCAGCGTCTTGCAGCCTCAAAACAAGCAGGAGGGAAAGGTGATCATCTTCACTCTTCTCCCTGTGAGTCCCGCGGCAAGGCCAGAGACTGACTTGCGCTTAGCGCCAGTTGATTGGGCCCTCGTTGTTACACTCCAGGTCATCCCCTCTCTCCTTGGTGATACTTGCCAACTGCGCTCACCTGATTTTCACCTAACTTGACCCGTTCTGCCTCCCTACAGCAACTCCGTGTTTTGTAGGAACTGCACCTGAGGTGCAGATCTGCCTGGAGACCGCACCGGTATTGCAGAGCATCTCAGGTAGTGCCAGGTAGTGACTGCATTTCTGTTGGCTTTTTCTTTAGAATATTGTCCTATAACAACCTGACCAGACTGGACGAGGGGAGCTTGGCAGACCTGGGAGGACTGCATGTACTGCGACTCAGCCACAACGCCATCAACCACATTGCTGAGGGAGCTTTCAGAGGACTCAAAAACCTGCGTGTTCTGTAAGTGATCCCAGCTATGTCTTGATTCCCACCTCCTGCTCCCACCACGTGATACGCACGTCCGCGTGCCTGAACAGCTAACCCTGCTTCCCTGATTAATGCAGGAGATGCATTTTTCTCTGGACCAAATCTTCTCCTGCACTTCTGTTTGAATCCAGCCATTTCCTTGCTTGACATTTGGAAATTCTCCTAACTGTTCCTGTGCTCTGTTCGGCAGCTGTTGTGTTTCACCCCAGAAGTGGGTATTTTAGAGTGTTTTAGTGATGGGATGGGAAGAATTCTTTTGTATTCCTTAGGCCTTGTCCGTACTTCTCAGAGAATCGATGCTCTAGAGATCGATCTACTGGAGTTCGATTTGGAGGGTCTAGTAAAGACCTGGTAAATCAAATGCTGAGGGTGCCCCTGTTGACCGTGATACTCCTCTCCCATTGACCTCCTGCTGTGGAGCTGTCCTAGAAAATCGCTGTAGGATACATAGACTCCAGCTACACAATTATTGTAGCTGGAGTTGCATATTTTACATTTGTTTTCTCTACCTATATAGACCTAGCCTTACAGACCATTCCTGGACTTGTGAATGTTTGTGTCAGGTGCTCACCTGAAAGGAGGTTTAAAAGTGCAAAGTTAAATTATTAGTATTAAGAATTAGTTTCCAGCTCTGCGTTTGGATAATATGCATTTTTTTGCTGGTTAGGGGATAACATTTTTTCACGAGCGGCCTATTTTAGATTAATTGTTTTTGTAGTTCTCCTTTCAGGGTTCAGGCCTGGCAGAGCAGCGTGCACTAAGCTAAGTGCATTGCTGAAAGTCCTGCTCTTTTAACCCTTTTTCAGCTCTTAACTCCTCCATTTCCCGTGCTGTCCTTTTGAGGGAGGATGCAGGAGTAGGGGGGAGGAGTGTCCCAGGGTCTCAGCTGGGGAAGATGAATGAAGGGAATGGAGATGGGGATCAGGGCATAAGGGGGATGGGAGGTGCTTAACTATCTCTGTGCCTCCCACCACCTCTAGGCACCGCCCTCCACAGTTCCTATTGGCTGTGATTCTGACCAATAGGAGCAGCAGGGGAAGCCTCCAGGCAAGTGGTTTCTGCGCTGCCATTCCCCCAGCTGGGGGCAGGGGGAGCTGCTTCCACTCCCCGCGCGCTGGATCCCATCTGCGAGGCTCAGCTCCTGACCCCTGCAGCTGGAAGCCGGCACTAGCGCTCCAACCTCGTGGCGGGGGCCTGCAGGGCTGGAGCGCCAGGACAGGCTCTCCGTGGCAAGGGAGGGGGAGCCCCCAGCCCATCTGCAAGATGGTCGTGGACCACAGTTTGAGAACCACTGAACCAGCAAGGCAGCTCGTTGGAGAGGAAGAACCCGCGGCAGCTTGTTCCAGCGTCCTCCACGCAGCTCCTTCTGTTTGCACTAGCTGAGGCTCTGGCCGGCCTGGTTCTTCCATCTCCACTGCCATGAAGTCCCCCCTCACCCGAGGTTTGACTGTGCAGCCTTCCACGGCAGTGGTGTTCCTGGGCAGACACACAGCTCAGTACTTGTATTCCTCCTCCCTGAGCCCCATTGCGCTTGGATGGATGGAAATGGAAGCGAGCACGGAGGCGCTTTCCCTCCTCTGCTTATTGCACCGCATGCATCTTTATTCCTTTCCTGAGTTTCACACGGGAGGAAGCGACTGAGAGTGATTTTATTTATTTTTTTTTCAGCGTAAGCCTTTCAGCCCGCTGGCATTCAGAGAGGGCCTTCTCCCAGGCAGCTGCCAGTGTGGGGACGAAGGGCTCGCAAAGAGGAATGTGGGAATGGGGCGCTCTGTGCCCTCTGCAGCGGACGGGGAGCCTCTTTTGTGCCCAGTGCAAGGGGGAGAGAGAGGGAGCTCTAATTGAATCAAGAGGCAGGCTCTTGGGTCGGGCACCTGGTGAAAAAGACCCGAGCCGGCTTTAATTATGGCCTATTGTTAAGGAGCCTTTGGTGGGTGTGAAACGGCTGAAATGTGGCGCTGTTCTGCAGAGGTCAGGCCTGGGGACCTCGCAACATAATGATTAACAAGGCAGCGCGCATTCAAGCTCAGCCAGCCAGAAACAATAGGAAATTGGCAGCCGGGGCTGAGAGAGAAGAGGCATTGAATACACTGCGAGGCGGGACAGAATGCCCAGGGTCTTCACTTTTTTTATTCCACCCATTTGAAAAACACCCCAAATTCACATTTCTGTGCTCTCCCCCTCGCTCCCAACACTAAGCCTTTCAGCTTCCTTTAGAAAGCAAGCCCAGGGACAAGCCGGCCACTTTTCTTTTCCCTTTTTAAGAAAACACACGGTGACACTCACTCAATAAAAGTACGTGCCAGAAATCGCCAACATTCTCAGCAGCTCCCGCCCTGTCTCCGCTCAGACTGGGGAGAGGCCAGGCTAGTCATCCCAAGTACAGTGGCAGGGCTGGAGGGGGCAGGGGAATTGGCCTCAGAACGAATCTCCAGGAAGAGAGGGTTTGTTCACGTGTCCCAGAAAACCAGGCCTAAGCTGCAAGCAGGTTAGTTACAGTGCGCTGTGCAACTGGTAGAAATTAAAATATGGGATCCTGAGAGGTGATACGTTTATAATCCGGTTCATGCAACGCAGGCCTCCCGACATCCTGCAGGGTGTCACGGTGAGTCTCCCGGACCCAGCCTCTCCTTTACTCTCATTTGTCTCTTGCTGGCTGTATTAAAGCGCTCTGCGTGCCCATGTCCTGTGGCGTTGGAATTCTGCCATCCGCTTGGCATGGCTCTACCCACAGATCATACTGACAGCCAGAGTGATGTTGCTTCAGTTGGTGTTGTGTTGATACGTGGGACACAGGTCTGAAAATGACACTTGCTAAAAAAATGGGCATTTTGGGCTGAGGGTCACTTCTTTTCACAACTTTAATTCATGTTGGGTACGTCTACACTGTGGAGCTATTTTGGGATACCAGAAGTATCCCGAAATAGCTACTCCGCGTCTGTTGAAACAGTGCTTGATTTCGAAATACCGGGCGGCTTATTCCGACAACCCTTGTTCCATGAGGGTTAAGGGGAATTTTGGAATATCGCGTTATTTTGAAATGGCTAATTAAGCTATTTCGAGGTGTGGGAGGTCTAGGTTGGATATTAAGAAAAACTGTTTCACTAGGAGGGTGGTGAAGCGCTGGAATGGGTTCCCTAGGGAAGTAGTGGCGTCTCCATCCCTAGAGGTGTTTAAGTCTCGGCTTGACAAAGCCCTGGCTGGCTTGATTTAGTTGGGATTGGTCCTGCCTTGGGCAGGGGGCTGGACTTGATGACCTCCTGAGGTCTCTTCCAGCTCTGTTTTTTATGATTCTATGAAATAGCATTGAAATAAGCTACACAATTTAGGTAGCGTAAATTGCATAGGTTATTTTGAGCTAAGGGTGCTGTGTAGATGCACCCATTGAAAAGCCAAGGAATCAGGACTAGCAACAAAGACAGCAGTTAGTTTGGATAACTATGGTAAAACTTCAGTCCTGGCTGGCTAAGGAAATTGTGGTAGAGGGTTATGTGCACCTAATGGCATTCTTCTGTTCTCATATCATGTGACTATGTGTATTGCACACATTTAAAAAAGAAAAAAACCTATTGAAACTGTTCTAGTAACTAAAGAAAATAGTGGATTTGCGGGGAATGGGGGTTTGTTTTGTGGATTTTTTTGTCTTCCCTGTGATGTTACAAAGGCTTAAAAGTGTATTTAAAAACAGGAAAAAAAAAAAAAGTGATGTTACAAAGGCTTAAAAGTGTATTTAAAAACAGAAAAAAAAACCCCTAAAGGAAGAATAAAGAGCATTAGAAATGTTATAGGTCGGTCTGCTGAATTCTACTGCCTGGAGCTTGAAGGGAGAGATGAGAGAGGAGTTTTAGTCAGACGGTTTAAAAAAGGGTGGTGGTTTTTATTTGCTTGTTTTCATTAATATCTATGTAACTCCAGTAACTAATGAACATAAACAGGAAAAGGGCCCTCTTTATGGGGAGTTGTAACTCTATAATTATGCTCCTAAATTTCTCTCTCTAAGCAATGCATGAGACTGTGGAACTCCTTGCCACATGAAGTCATGGAGACCAAAAATGTAACAAGGACTGAACTTTTTTATGGCTGACAAGAGTATCTAGAGTTGCCACGCTAAATATAACACAATTCTGGAAGAGATTCTGTTTTAGGGTTTAAGCCAGTATATCTGACTATTGGACATCAGGGTGAGACCAAATATGGAACACAGATTATCCTGAATTTCTATATGACTTGCCATTCTTGCACCTTCCTTCAAGGCATTTGGTAGTAGCCCCTGTTTAAAACAATACTTAGCTAGATGGATCTTGCACCTGGCCATTCCTGTGAAACTCCCGGTGGTTTTAGTTTTAGTTTTAGTTTTTCTTGCACCTGGCCATTCCTGTGAAACTCCTGGTGGTTTTAGTTTTAGAGGCAGAAGAAGTTTCTCTTTGTTCGAGGGGAAACCTGCCAAACACATGGACTTCTTCATCCAGCACAACGAATTAGAGAAGGGCTTAAATCCAGAGTTCAGAAATCCATTGGAGGTCCTCTTTAAAGTGGCAGAGGGGATCTGATTGGCAAACTTCAATTACTGATGGCCTCATGTTCTCCCTTTAGTGCAAGAAAAGTCAAGAGTTGGCTTAGCTGCAGTGCTAGGCTTACTAAAAGTGATGCACAGCAAGGACAAAATGGGAAGTTCTTTGTAAGCTGTTTCCAAACTTTTCCCTTTAATGGCGAGCCCAGGACTGAGAAATTGATTGAGCTTTCTTTTGTCTTCTCCCCAGGGACCTGGACCATAACGAGATCTCAGGCACAATAGAAGACACCAGCGGGGCATTTATGGGCCTGGATAACCTAAGCAAGCTGTGAGTAGCCTCAGCTTTTAGAAGTTTGTTGCCTTCCTTGGGGAAAGGCGGTGGGCGTGGGTGGAGCAGGTTTGTTCAGACTTTGCTCTTTGGGAAGAGGGAAAAATCTGAAGAAAGAGAGAGAACAGCCCCCCAGACTCACTACATGGGAATAAATGCCATTCCTAGGAGCACATGGTTTCCTTTCGTAGGCGTGAACCCCCTACTGCTAGAGCAGCTGAATATTCACATACTCAGCACTGGTAGAAACAAGCTCATGGGTTTGTTCCCTGTAAGATTTCACCCAGATCAGCTGCACTTTACAAAAAAGCAAGGGAAAAAAGGAAGCTTCCTTTCACACTCATTGATGCTCAGCCTCTAATGAAAAAGCAATACTAAACAAGAGAAACATCTCAGGGTTACGCTTAATTACACCTCACAGTTTAAGTGAATTGGACAAACATCTGTCTCGTAGGGTGTTAGCCGTTTCCTCTCCACTCCCCAAGAAATGACTCCCCAGTTTCTTTAATGGTGCCCTCTGTCTGTGGGAAGTTTTCTTTACGAGTGATCTTTTTAGGGGTGCATCTAGACTACAGGGTTTTCTTTTTTTTTTTTTTTTTAAACGGCTATTTTTCTGAAAAAACGTCACTTACTTCCACGCTGCAAACAAGTTCTTTCATTTTTTTTTTTTTTAAACGGCTATTTTTTCTGAAAAAAGTCACTTCCACGCTGCAAACACATTCTTTTGAAAGAAAATCGAAGAACCCAGGGCTTTTCTGACACTGGTAAACCTCATTCGACGAGGTAGAATGCCTTTTCCGAAAGAGCTTTTTCGGAAAAAGGCGTGTGTGGACGCAGAAGAGGGAATTTTTTCGAAAGAAGAGGCCTCCAGGAAAAAGCACAAGTGTCCTAGTGGCCACTCCGCACACAGTAATCACAGCTTATATGCGAGGGAGTGTCCAATGAGTGTGCACAATCTCTTTTGAAAAAGCAGGTTGCTATTTCTATGTGCTTTGGTAGTGTGGATGCTCTCTTTCGGAAGAAGTTTTTTTTGGAAGATCTCTTCTGAAAAAGCATCTTTCAAAAGAAGTCTGCAGTCTAGACATACCCTAGAGCTCCTGGGATTGGGCCAGAACAGTTAAAGGGATAAAAAGAAAACTGATTCAGTTTGAGAGAGACATGTAAGAAAATATATATTGCAGGTAATTTGTTCCTTTTCCCTTTGGGGGATTGCATGGGGAAGGATCTTTGAACTCAGCTGTCTAGAATCAATCCTGTCCAGCAAGTTGCTGATGGCTCATGACTAATTGGGGAGTCACTTTCAATTATTACTTCTTGCTTCTGTTTGAGTGTTCACCTCCTTCATTGCTGTCTTTGCTGCTGACATGCCCAGGGTGCACTGTATAATGGGAGGTGGCTGGCAAGGATCTCTGCAGGCAGTACTGTGTGTCTCTGTCATTAGTGCTGTTGGGGAGAGTGGTTTCGGTGGAGACCTAAGGTGGGAGTTGGAGAAGGGGGACTTGCCACTGTGGGTGTAGATCAATTTAAGAGAGGTGGAGCTGGGGACGGTGGGGGAGTTCAAGGAGAGAGTCAAAGGGTGGATTTTAGCAAATGGGATTGTGGGCCAGGGAGTAGATGAGAGTGGCAAGGTGGGGCGCTTGGCAGAATGGTAGGAATAAAGAAGAGCCTTGTGCTGGGGAAGTCTTCATGGTCGGGGGCTTCTTTCAGAGGCATGGGCACAGGAGCAAGGGGAGAGCTCTTGGGAGGTAGGAGAGGGGGGAGCAGAGGTTTAGGGGATAAGGAAGATAAGGCCTGAGGAAGGGCCAACGGAGAGATCATGGAAGAAGAGACTGGAGTGGAGGGAGTCGTAGGCAAGGGGCTGTGGCTGGTTTTGGGGGAAAGGATGGATAGACTATCGGGTCTCTGTTTGGATTAGTCACTGTGCTTTAAAACATAAGGATGGAAACCTGCTGATAATCTAGCTGCCTTTCCTGAGGCATTTTGCACACATTCGAGGCCTCCCACCTCAAAAAGGCCTAATTTAATCCATCACCACTCAAGCTGGGAGTTGTCTTGGGACTTCAATTAAGGATTATTTCTGCTCCCCAAATTATATATATAAAATGCCGGCCCTCTGCTCTAAGGGTGGCAGTGTGTGGCTTTAGGCTTGGTGTTTAAACCGTCAATGGGCTTTAAACGCATTAGCATACAAAAAATAAGTGACACTTCAGATGGAAATGGTCCAATGAATTAATAATTACCTCAGCTCTGTGGAGATTGCCTTAAAAGCTGCTCCCCTTTGATCTGCCAGGGATTAGACTCTGAAAGGATTTAGCAGCGAGAGTGTTGTTCGGCATAATGAAGGTGTTAAACTGGGAGGGGGCAGGGAGGCCCGTCACTGTAGCCTTCCCTGAATTATAGATGAAGCTCTCCAGAATGGAGAAGGAAGGTCTAAATTAAAACATGGCCTCAGAAAAGGGAACTGAGAACCACTGAAGCATAAAAAGCATCAGTGGGGAGCCGCCGGTCCCCTAATTATTCAAGCTGCTAAATTTAACCGGTTTTTGATGGCTCACTCACTGAAAGACCTTCCTGCAGGTGCAGAGGGGGGAAATGGTACTTTCTAATGAACTGCTTGTGCACGGTGTCATTATACGTCTTTAATTGCGGGGGGGAGGGACGGGTACTGACTCACTTTACAGTGGGAGAGCCTTCCTTTGTTTGGCGTAAGCTGGCTAAGTGCAGAGCTGCGTGCCCCTGCGCTTCCATTCCGAAATACGGATCCCTTTGAAGAGAGTCACTGGGTTTATAATAATTTTGTAATTAGAAAAGTGGCTATTTGGGGGCCTTAGGGAAATACAAATCTCTGAGAGTTTGCAGGAGTGCACGCTAACTGCTTATTAACATCTCTATGCATTTCTCCTATACATGGCTATACAGAATAGCTGCGTGCCCATGTATACCCATTTAGGTGCACATATGATAGTTGCACAGTATATATGTAGAGGTGGGCAAAAGTCAGATTTTTAAGGACCGAGATTTAGTGTAAACAGTGAGCGGGAATCTCCATAATGACCAAACTCAGGGGTTAACATCTCAATTCTGATGGACTGTTCCTAATCCAAGGAGCTCAGTAAAGATATTTTCACCACAGAGGAAGTTCTGAAAAATGGGTTGCACATAAGTTTGCATTTTATTAGCTATGAAGGACACAGCCTGTGGCAGCTGTCTTTATTTTTCTAATTGTCTTTTTTTTTTTTTTTTTTTTTTTAAATAATAATCTGGCAAATTGGGCTCAAACTCTCTGGAGATGTTTTATGCTAAGCTAATTTTGAATCCTGTGGGATCTTAAAAGACTCAGGATGCGTCTACACTGCAGGGCTTAACTTGAAATAAGCTACTCATATTGAGCTTATTTTGAAATAGGGAGAGTCTACTCAGCACTTATTTCGAAATAGAGCACTCTTCCTCCAATTTCCCTTATTCCTCATACAATGAGGGTTACAGGAGTCGGAGTAAGAAGTTCTCCAGCTTGACAGTATTTTGACACGATTTCAAAATAACTGCCTGCTGTATAGATGGGGACTAAGTTATTTTGGACATTAGGAAAATGTTCCTAACTGTCAGGGTGGTCAAACACTGGAATAAATTGTCCAGGGAGGTTGTGGAGTCTCCATCTGTGGAGATATTGACGAGTAGGTTGGATAAATGTCTATCAGGGATGGTCTAGACAGTATTTGGTCCTGCCATAGGGGCAGGGGACTGGACTCTATGACCTCTCGAGGTCCGTTCCAGGCCTAGTATTCTATGATTCTATGATTTTGTAATAGCACGAGCTGTTTCAAACTAGTGTTGCAGTGTAGACGTACCCTAACAGATTTCTTTGGGCATAACCTATTATGGGCAAAAATCCACTTTCTCAGACGCAAACTCATTTGTAACCCATTTTGCAGAACTTCCCATGTGGTGAAAATATCTTTCCTGAGCTCCTTGGATTAAGAACAGTCCATAAGAATCGAGACGTTAATGTTCAAAATGAGGTTGACCCCTTGAGTTTGGTCATTATGGAGATTCCTGCTCACCCACTTACAGTGAATCTTAGACTTTAATAATCTGATTTTCACCCACTGGGAACCCGTGACCTCTGAGACATCATTGTGGCCTTACCTATAACCTCTGGTTGAGTTACGGGTTGCTTCAAATCCACGATTTAAAGATTTTAGGTTACAGCGAGTCCACCATTTATTCTAGTTCAACACATAAAGGAATCTGTGCCCCATACTGCAAAGAAAAGGAAAACCCTCACAAAACCCCAGGATTTTGCCCAATCTGACCTAGGGAGTAATTCCTTCTGGACCTCCAGTTAGATCAGTTAGCCTGAGCGTGTGGGCAAGATCCACCCGCCACACAGCAGGGAAAGAATTCACAGTAATAAACTCTCAGCCCTCCCCACTAAGCATTCCATCATGGGTCCTGTAAGTAAGCCACGAGTCCCAGATCAGCTAAACGCCACTCTAGGCAATCTTATCAAACTCAGTTTTGCTGCCCTTGGCCGTCACTCTTGTTATGGATAGAAACTTCATCGCATTTCAAGCCTAAAGTAGTTGATGGCCAGTTAATACGCATTTGTTCTTGTGCCAGTGATGCCCTTAAATAACTCCTCTCCCTCCCTGATATTTATCCCTCTGAAGTACAGAGTGTGCAGTCTTATCTCCCCTCTGCTTTCGTTTGGCTAGACTAAACAAGCCAAGCTCCATAAGGCTCCTCTTGTAAAAGTAGGTTCTCCAGTCTGCTGATCATCCTGGTAGCCCGTATCTCCATCCTGTTCCAGTTGGAATTCATCTCTCTTAGGATGGGAGACACAGAACTGACACAGTATTCTAGATGAGGTCTTACCAGTGCCCCGTATAACGGTAATAACACTTCCCTACCTCTACTGGAAATTCCACCCCTGAGGCATCCTAGGATCGCATGAACCTTTTTTGTGGTTGCATCACATTGGTGGCTCATAGTCATCCTGTGGTCAACCTAAAAACCCAGGTCTGTCTTCTTCTCTACTGTTCACTCCATCTAATGGCATGGAAGTTGGATGGTTCAATCTGCGGGAGCTTCAATGCTCTGGGCAGGTGCAGGGAAGGTCGTCTTGGGCAGTAGAAAGCCCTCTATCAGGGCAGCATACCTGGCCAAATGGAAAAGGTTTTCTACCTGGTGTGCAGAGAGGGGAATCTTCCCTAGGTGGGCACTTATTCCAGTGGAGTTAGAATACTTGTTGCATTTATGGACACAGGGCCTGGCACCCTCTTTGGTGAAGGTACATTTGGCAGCTGTGTTTGCCTTTCACCCAGGTTGCTCCCCACATTCCCTGTTTGGGCAACCCACGGTAGCTCACTTTTTAGGAAGGGATTGGACAGGTTGTATCCGGATTATCGTCCGCCTGTACCGACTTGAGATGTAAATCTGGTGCTCAGTAAACTTTTGGGTCCACCCTTTGAACCTACGGCTGAGTGCTCACTGCTTCATCTTTCCATGAAAGTGGCCTTCCTGGTGGCCATCACCTCGGCAAGGAGAGTGTCTGAATTGAGGGACCTCTTTTCAGAGCCGCCTCCCCTTCTCCCCCCGGTATATGGGTTTCCACAGGGATAAAGTGCCCCCGTCCTGCCTACCAAAGGTGGTCTCCAAATTCCATCTAGCTCAGGAGATCTTCCTCCCAGTCTTTTATCCCAAACCACACTCTAGCGCGGGGCAGAGAGTGCTGCACATGTTAGACGTAAGGAGAGCCCTGGGTTTTTACATAGATCATACTAAGCCATTTCAAAAGTCCATGCAGCTATTTGTGGTGATAGTGGAGCGAATGAAGGGAGACCCTGTCTCTGTGCAGTGCATATTGTCATGGATACACCTGTTTGGACCCAGCAGGGGTTTTTTCTTCCACTGGTCACAGGCCAATCGACTAGAACATGTGTCTCATTGACTGCGTTTATGGTGCAAGTTCCCCTCCAGGAGATATGTAGGGTTGCCCATTGTCCTCTAGTCATATGTTTATGGCCTTCTATGCTATCACTAAATTATCCAGGGAGGAGGCAGCTGTGGGTAGGGCAGTGTGTCAATCCAGGATTCCTAACTCTGACCCCACCTCCATGGGGTAGCAGCTCGGGAGTGACCTGTGTGGAATCAACGTGAACAAGCACTCAAAGAAGAAAAGACAGTTACCTGTTTTGGTAACTGTTGTTCTTCGAGATGTGGTGTTCCAATACCCACCCTCCTTCCCCACTATCGGAGTAGCCAGGAAGAAGGAAGCGAGGCTGGGCCTAGCCATTGGTGGCCACATGGCGCTTAGATCTGATTAGCTGGGGGCTGGGCCCGGCCGTTAGCAGCCTCGGTGGGGCAGGAGTTGTGGTGGAAAAAAGTTTCCGCATCACTGCACTAGCCCTAAGAAACAGGGGTTTGTCTGTTCACCGGCAGCCTTCCACCCTGCACCCATGATTCCAGGGGGCACAGACCTTTGTGTATGATCCAGGGCTTTGGAGTGCTGGGTGCCTCCTTCCCACCATTACTGTGGTGACTTTGTGCCCTCCAGCCATGCATTGTTCTATACTGCTGAGGGGCAACCTAGGCTAGTGAGCAGGCCACATGAGTGGCCCTCCATCTCAGCAGGCCACAAGATTGTTGTAACCAAGATGGTCTCTTGGGATAGGGCAGTCTTGCTAACGGCGCTGGTGTACCTAGAATTTGCGGGGACGCCGATGGAACCGTAGCAGCGCTTTGGATAAAGAGGGAGCACGGCTCTCACAATGTTGCGTGGAGTAACCACGCACCTCACGTCACGTGCCCACATTTTAAGTGTGTGTCACTTTTGTAATACCGGTAGGAAAAAACTACGGGGATTAAAACCAGTGGAACGTGGCAACTCTGGGTATCGACAACGGTAAAAGAAATGTCTTGTGGGCCACACCTAAAACCCCAAAGGGCCACAGGTTGCCCACCACTGGCTGTTGCAAGGCCAACAAATTCCACCCTAAGTAATTGCATCCCTGCCGTTTGTTCGGTCTCCTTGCTTATTCACCCAGCCAGGGCAATGAGCTCTAATTTTGGCATCTTTCCAGTGTGCCATCAGTTTTATGTGGCATCCTATCGAGTAACTGGTCTGGGCTCTCCAAGGTGCTATTTGCAGAACTTGAGGAGATTGCTTCAGAACTACCCAGACACTTTTGGGAGATTTTGTGGGACTCGCAATACAAATTCCTGCACGTTTCCCAGAGTTGCTGGACTCTACAGCTGATCAGTCAATAAACTGCTGGATTGGATGCCCTTGAAAACTAGGCTGCAACAGATGCATCTAAAAGAGGTACCTTGCATAGCAAGAGCTGGGGAGAAACCTTCTCAATACTGACCTTTCCTGCTGTTGGTTAAAGCTGTTGAGACAGGCATTCGGGTGTTTCAGTGAATGCTTCTCCTGATAATTGCCAATTGTGAATATTTATAGAAAACGGGTTCTTTGTAAGATTGTGCTGTGAGCATTATAACTGGCAGCATTCTGCAAGCAACACCGAGCGTCTCGTGCTTATTCGCACCGAATGTTGTGCCGCAGGAGTACAGATCATTTGTGGACATTTGAAAACATTCTCATTGTCCCCTTGGACAGGGCTCACCCCGTGTGCTCAGGACCCTGTGGTATACGAGGCATTTTACAAATGTGCATAAAGAGACTCTGCCCCCTTTAGAGATCTCGCAGCTCCTGTACGTACGTAGGCTGAAATTCCCAGTGAATAATTTTATTCCTTTTCTACTCAAGGTCAGAAATGGAAAGTGTTGTGGCAAGAGCCCTATATCTTGTTAAACTGGCATCTCGCTTAGTTCTGTCCATCAAAAATACAGGGGACCTTCTGTTACTCAACAAGCCAATTTCCAGTAGCATCACAGACCTGCCTCTTTATGTGAGAGGGCACATTCCGTTTCAAACTGTCATCACTATTAAATTGTGATACAGATAAAAGTATTTAATTTCAGGCGGGGAAGACGGGCACGCTTCAGCCCTTTAATCTCTGTGCAGTTCAGATTTCCAGGGCCTTCCACTGGACACCTTTATCAGATACAGTCACGCTAATTGTGTTCTTTCTTTTGCCTTTTCTCTCGGTGTATCTGGCCCTGGATGTTTGGAAACTGCAGAACTCTGTTTGGAAACAAGATCAAGTCCGTGGCCAAGAAAGCGTTCTCAGGCTTGGAGGCCCTGGAGCACCTGTGAGTAACCCACCAGCCTTTGCCGGTTGGAACGAGGCCTGACAAAAATGGCTGCAGAGGCCTGCTAGCAATTTAATAGCGTCTTTGTAAAATGAGAAGCCAGTCCATTTGTGGGGGCCAGCTGCTTCCTTCTCATTATAAGTCACTTCAACTTTGGCCTTTTTTTGTGCCAGAAACAAAGTTAGAGACCATATGGCAAATTTGCATGCCCTTAATTTTTTTATTTGCATTGGGATAAATATCTCCTTGACTCATAACACAATCACTCTGCAGACTGTTTGCAGCAAAGCTGTATTTCAGCCCTGGCCGTCCCTTCCCCGCTCAGCGTTCCTCCAAACTCCCTGACAAGGCATGTTGAAAATGACGAGCTTCTGATACAGAAACAAAATGTCTCATTCAGTAGAGCCATTTTTTCAGCTGTTCGCAGAAAGCCAGTTTGGCTACAGCTAAGCAGTTTTGCCCATCTCCTCCCAGGGCTGAAGCCTCCCGCAGTGATTTATCATTAGTTTCCTCTTACAGATTTAGTCAGGTTTAAATATTTTGTTGCTCTCTATGATTGGATGTTGGCCATGTTGATTCTTCGGCCACTAGCACCAAAAGAAACAGTGAAGGGCAAGTGTGTTTTGGAGAGGCCAGTAATGACTCTGTGTTGCATTTGCATTTAAAGCAGCCCTAAACTCCTGGGTTACGTTTAGACTGGCATGATTTTCCGGAAATGCTTTTAATGGAAAACTTTTCTGTTAAAAGCATTTTCGGAAAAGAGCGTCTAGATTGGCATGGACACTTTTCCGCAAAAGCATTTTTTGCGGAAAAGCGTCCGTGGCCAATCTAGACACTTTTTTGCGCAAAACAAATCTCAGCTGTCTACACTGGCCCTTTTGCGCAAAAGTTTTGCGCAAAAGGGACTTTTGCCCGAATGGGAGCAGCATAGTATTTCCGCAAAAAGCACTGATTTCTTACAGTAGGAAGTCAGTGCTTTTGCGGAAATTCAAGCAGCCAGTGTAGACAACTGGCAAGTTTTTCCGGAAAAGCGGCTGATTTTCCGGAAAAACTGGCCAGTCTAGACACAGCCCTGTTGTTTCAGACTTTAGTGACTGAATTTGGAGTCCAGATTTTGGCATAACCCCTCTTCAAAGGACAAGTGATTTTTTTTTTCTTGTAAAATATTGATGATCTTCTGCAAAGGGAAACAGTTAAGAATGCTCCTTTTTGGAAATTTTTGCTCCCTTGTCTTCACACTAGCTTTAGACAACCTAAAGTAAACAACCATATTCCCCTCCCCTCCCCCAAACACATTTGCTAACAATGTCGCTCTGACCTATGCCCCATTAGAACATTTAGGGCTTGTCTTCAGAACACTGGGGATTGATGCTGAAGCAATCGATCAACCAGCCATTGATTTATCACGTCTACATAGACATGATAAATTGATCTCTGAGTACTCTCCCATCGACACTGGTACTCCACCAGAACGAGAAGAGTAGCCGGTGTCAATGGGAGAGCAGCTGCCCCTCACCTGACCTTACCATATAGAAGACTACATGGTAAGTGCATTGCATAGCTGAAGTCAAGTAGATTAGATCAGTGGAAGGGATTAGCATAGACAAAGTCTTGTACTAAGCAGACAGACCAGGGATGGGCAATAAACCGACGGCGATTCACCAGGGTTTGGCCCTGGTGAGCCTCTGCCTCTATATTTCCTTGCACCTGTGCAGGTATGGGGGATTGCAGCTCCTATTGGCTGGAATGGTGATCTGCAGCCAGTGGGTGCTGTGATCCCATATACCTGCGGAGACACAAGTAAATACAGCGGGGTAGGGGTCCACCTGGGGCAGACCAGATCCAGCCCATGAGCTGGTATTTGTCCACCCCTGACGTAGATACAGTCCTCTTGTTCAGGATAACTGTTTTGAAGATAATGGAGCAACACAGATTTCCACTTGCTGAGGATTTGCTCTATGACCAATAAACCTGCTTTGGACGTCAAGCTGCCTGCCGGGGGCTTGGGAGGAGGCAGGAGATGCGTAGAAGAGCAAGCGGTAACTGGTGGAGGCCATTTAAGCTGAGATGGTAAAGTGTAGCTGAGGTGCTGAAAGATTCTTGTTCCCTTGCTTCTCATGGCTTGCATCGGTGAGCTGTGCTGTCTAGCAGCCTTAACTCAGAATTACCAAGTGTTTTGTACAGTATCGATCTGCAGTAGTACAATTACGCACCATCCCGGATTATGCAACTTGCGTACCATAAAACGCGTGTGCCGCTCTGTAGCTTGGAGAAAAGATGTGGGTCTCTTGATGTTACTGTAGCATGTATTTGTATTGAAAGCGCCTCTGGTTTTGTTCGGCAGGAACCTCAGGGACAATGCAATCCGGTCTATCCAGCCAGATGCTTTTGCTAAGATGAAGAACCTGAAGCAGCTGTAAGTAATTGGATTGGATGTACCATTAAATCTGCACTGGGGTCTCATCCTGTAAGTGAGTCGTCCCACATCGGTCCCATGTACGACACGCCAGTGGAAACAATCTAAACGGCCTACATTCCTCCCTCTCTGCCAACCTTCCCTATGGGTTATTTTTACACTTGAGCAGATGTCCCGGATGCACACGTCTCACATTTAGTAGCGAGTGAAATTAGATCATAGTAACGGGGGGTGGCATGTATCCGTCTCCGCTCAGAAAATCAAGTCGTTAGGTCCGCGCTTTTTGTTCTTACACAGCTCTCTGTGACCTACTGAATCCTGGTGGCCCACCTGTGTTTCCATTATACTATGTTGAGGGTTTATGCACAGTGCTGACATTTGAGTGGATTTGAGCCGGATTGTGCATTTGAGCGGATTATCTAGTGTCAGCTACTTTTGCACAATTCTAGGGCTCTCTTGCCATGTGCCTACACACAGATTAGCAATGTGAAAGTGCAACCATATACACAGTTAACCGATGACCCTGGGCTCATTGGTTAACCATCACGGTTACATGCAGGCTCCCGGTAGTTAGCAGAGGCAGCAGTGCGGATAGTCAGGTGAGCTTGTACACATGGGAGTAAGCCAGCTCCTAGTGCACACCAGCTCCTGGGGAGCTGACTGCCGCCTCATGTGTGACCATTGGCTTTTTCCCATCAGTTACATGGTTACTTAATTAAATGCATTTTACCATCCTAACACAGATGCCTATCTCCATCTCAGTCTTCTAAAGGTTAAGCTGCAGTGTTTGATTAGCTCAAATCCTGCCCCCAGTCACAGTATAGTTAATGTATAGTTCATGACCTCGGCGTGACCTTTGGGGCTGCTCCTGTATTGCTTCTCTGCAGAGAGTGACCTTCCGTAGAAATGCCTTTGCCTGAGCGTGGCTGTTCTATGGTACGCTGTAGAGCTGAACTTTAATGGTCATTTGTCTACGGCGTGCTTGGTCAGAGGTTCCTACACTACAAGGGCCAAGTTCTCTGCTGCTGTACGTTTGCAGGGCACTGTTGTCCTGAGAGCTGTTACACCGTTAGGGTGTGTCTACACAATGCCCTTACCTGGAAATAGCTTATTTCAGAATGCCAAAATGAAGCGCTATTCTGACAAATCCCTTACAACCTCGTGGAATGAGGGGGGATGCCGGAATAGCGTGCCCGTTATTTTGAAATATATTTTGAAATAACAGGAGCGTTTAAAGATACGGAATTGCTATTTCGAGATACTTCTGACGTAGCCCCGCTGTCTTAGATGTAGCCATGGAGAATTTGACTGGGAGTGCTTTAAAAATTGCAGAGAGAACATCTCCCACCTTACACCACGTAAAGCCCAGGCCTAGCTTTACGAAACGATTTCTGCAGAGTTTGAAGTGACTGTGTCCGCTTAGCGAATGCCTCTCCTTTGATGGCCTTAAACAGGTGGAGCAATAATTTCTGAATTCTAAGCATTCTTAGCAGCAGCTACTGAGGTGCCTCTAGGATGCTGTGGAATTTCTGTTGCTTCAATTAGTCACTGGTTTTGTTGAACTGCTACAAACCCGTGATTTGTTTGTGTCGTCCCGCCCGCCCCCCCTCGCATATCAGCAGTTCACTGAGCTGAGCCCCCTAGTTGGGCGGGGGCACAAACAGGAGGAGGTAGAGAGATGTTGCTTGGACTGCATTGGAGATGCACTAACGATTACATTGGCTAGCTGGACAACTAATGGCTGTAAGCAGAGAGCTTTGCAGAAGCTTTTTGCAGTGGTGCTGGAACCATTTTGGGGGTGGGGTGCTAAGCTGCATCTCCCTCTTCCCCCGAGTTGCCAACTCTCCAGGACTGCATGGATTGGACTCCATTGTTGCAAGTGGTATCCAGTCTGGGAGAGTTGGCAACCCTAACTGCCCCAGGCTGAAGCCACAGCAGAGCCCGGGCCAGCCGTAGGACCCTGGGCGGGCAGGCTGCAGAGCCCATGGTAGGGCCAGCTGGCAGCAGGACCCCAAGAGCCAGTGGAGCCTGTGGGGCTGGTGGGTGACAGGACCTGAGGACCCACATGGAGGCTGGAAGCCAGGCCTGGCGGAGGCCGACAGCAGGGTGGGGAAGCCAGGTGCAAAACCTGGGGGTGCTGCAGCACTTCCCGCACTCCTACTTCCCACGCATACCTTCTGCCACTCGGTGATTAAACCAGGGGATCGGATGTCGGCTGCATGGATAAAGACTTGGCACTTTGGGCTGTTGCGGTGATTTGGATTCAGAGCTCCTGGGTCCCATGCCCGATTGCCACGGATCCGTGTGTCCTGGGCAGGTTCCTTGGGTCCAAATCCTCCAAGAGATTTCAGCCCCTAGCGTCCACTGGGGTCCGTCCCTGCCTCAGTTTATCAAAGTGTCAAACAGGGCTCTCCGCACTCTCAGCCTCGCAGGATTGCTGCAAGGGTTAATGAATGTTGGCACAAGGCTAGCGGTATTTTGAGGGGGGAGGGGAGGACAGATGCTATACAAGTGGGATGTATTTACCACAGCCTGACTTATTTCTGCACAGCACCTGCCGGCCTCTTCCTTTTTGGTCATGCTGAGGGTAGGGATGTGAAAGGTAAAGCAGCTCACCATGGGAAGGGAGCTGCTCCATCCCCGTGGGGTGTGCCACGGGTGGGAGGAACCCATCCAGCCTGGCTACGGTAGGCAGGGGTGCCCCTCCAGCCTGCACGGACTGGAGCAGCCTCCCCCGTTGCCCTTTTTTGATCGGTAGCCGAGGGGAAGGGAGGCCTGCTGGGGGGCTTTGAAGGGCTCTGAGCTTTGCAGCATTTCTCTGGCCAGAGCTGCAGCCGGCATTTTCATTTCTGTGTCCCTCCAGCCACATAAACAGCGACAGCTTCCTGTGCGATTGCCAGCTGAAGTGGTTACCGCTGTGGTTAGCCGAGAAGGAGCAGCAGCCCTTTGTGGTAGCCACCTGCGCCCACCCTGAGTCGCTAAAGAGCAAGAGCATTTTTGCCGTGCCCACAGAAAGTTTTGTGTGTGGTAAGTGTGGCCTGGGGGTGTCTGAGGCTGTGTGAAGGGCAGAGATTTCCTGCGACTGCCAGACTGGGTGAGTAGAACCGGCTTGGTGGGGGTTTTGTGTCAGCAAAGCAAACCCAAGCCTACATTTTAAACATTTGTCACTGGCTACAATTTATTTCCCACCAAAACCACACCTCACGTTGCTTGCACCTAGGGAGTTCCTTTAAAAGGCACGCTGCGTATTAAATCCCAGGGAACTAGCAGTTAGGTCAGTTATAAACACAGCTGCTCCAGTGCTAAAGAGCGAATAGGGCCAGGATTTCAGCGGTGAATTTGCTCTGAGTGTAGCCCTGTGAGCGTCAGTTGTCGGGTCTGCAATCCCCTCCCCCATTTGTGCCTCCAACTAGAAGAACAAAACGTTTTAAAAATTTGTGGTGGGAAGGGTCTTTAAATATAAGCTCTCTTTATGGGCATTTTATCCAATACATCTGAAACAGACAATTGCTAAAATTTGCACTGGTGTGTTTGTGGGTTTTTATTTGCTTGGCTCAGAACTACTGCTTTCTTGTCCTCCGGCGGCTTGCTGCCGTTACGTCCCCGTCTGCCTGCAGAGCAGCCTGGCAAATGCAGAACAGCTGCACACACACGTACAGCCTAGCTCTTAAATGGGAACAATGCAAGGGGAAGAACATTCTCCTTGTGGCCAGAGAATGGGCTGGAGTCATGCTCGTTCGCGCTTTCCTCCTTTGAAACTAAACGGGGCGCCAGCTTTAAAACCTCTGGGTGTGGTTTGTCCTGTTCACTGGGGTGGATTTTAAGCTGTGTTCTGGCTTGCTAGTTGAGCTGATGGAAAGCAGAGGAGCTTCTGAAAGTTCCTTTGCAAACGTGTGTGTCTTGGTGGTGAAAGTTCAGCCTGCGTTTCGTCCACACCTGAGATGAGCGCACATATATCCCTACGCGGTGAACACACATGGGCTCAGAGCAGATGGGCCACCTCCATGGGTTTGCCAGGCTAGCTGTTCGTCTGATTAGAGACGGGATGAGTTCTCAAACGCTCTGTCCCCAAGGCACATCCTCAGAGTCGCAAAATCAACCTTGCTAACCTAAAGAGAGTTTTGCAATTTCAGTTGGCTGCCAAGCCACGTAGCCAGCGGTCCTCTCCCGTTCCAGAGGCATCGCTGTTTCATTGAACGTTACTCCACTGTTGTGTTACACAGAATCCAACAAACAAAACTGCTTGGAACTCTGCTAAAACCTTGGAACTCTGCTAAAACCCTGGGCAGAGGGGCGCAGTTGCAGGCCTCCGCCTGGGATGGGTGATGGGCAAATACAGGGGTGTTCATAGACATCTCGTGCTAACATGCCTGTGCTTCTCCATTACAACAATGACTTGAACCTCCACTTGAGGTTACCACAAGACTTTGAGGGCAGGGTTGGGTTAGAGGTGAAATGTTAAGGGCTGCAACTTGCTTTTGAACTTCAGATTTGCTCTGATTGCTTGAACAGAAGCTTTGTGCACCAGTGGTGTAAGTATTGGGATAGCACCAAGCCGCGGTCAGTGCACGTACCAGCACCTCATTCTGTGAGATGCTGCACGCTTGCACGCATACGCCCTAAAAATATGGTGCCTGCTCCTCCTAGCTAAGCCGTTTTCAAAAGCAAGCAGATAGTTGATCTTCCCATCGACAGTACGTAAAGACAAATGTGTACAAATGTCAATTGCATGTATTCATTATTTGTTAGATCGGCATCAGCTGCTAAAATAATCTTGTTATGGTGGAAATGGCAAGAATTGTGACTAGTAACAGTGATTGGTGTCTTCATCCAGGGCTGAATCCGTTTGTTTTTTTCCAGACGATTTTCCAAAGCCCCAGATTATTATTCAGCCAGAGACAACAATGGCCGTTCTCGGCAAAGATATCCGCTTCACCTGCTCGGCTGCAAGCAGCAGCAGCTCCCCTATGACGTTTGCCTGGAAGAAGGACAACGAGGTCCTTCACAATGCCGAGATCGAGAACTTTGCCCATGCACGGGCTAAGGATGGTGAAGTGATGGAATACACCACCATCCTGCACCTGCGGCACGTCACCTTCTCCCATGAGGGGCGCTACCAGTGCATCATCACCAACCACTTTGGCTCCACCTACTCCAACAAGGCCCGGCTCACGGTGAATGGTGAGTGCCGGACTAGGTTCGGTTCATTTCTTGTAGGTAAAAATGTCATCCAGCCTTATGTATCCTTCAGGGGACTGGGAGGCCCCGGTTGTGTGACTGCCTGGCCAGGCACTTAAGTATGTGCTTAACTTCAAGCATGTCCGCCACTGTTCAACACAGGCATATCCCATTGGTTTCAA